GCTTACAGGGCACACAGAGAAATAAAATCAGCATAGTCTTTGATGCCTTGACAGAAGGCCCAGATATGCTGGTTGCTGTGACCCTGGATGGCTTAAACAGAGATACACCAATTGTTGACCTCAAGGCTGCGAGAACTGCCTTGGCTGGCACCTATATTGATACGAACACACTCGTCCACGGGGGGAGGAATCTCCTGCCCCGTAAAGAATGTCCAGTACTCAGAATTTAGTTCTCTCTCTTACAAGCGTAAATTAAGTTGAAACTCCCTTGTAAAAACTGGCGTCACAAAGACGGACCAACACAATTAGGCACCATAGATAAGAAAGAGGATATGGGCCCCTATGGGTATAAAGATGGGTCCAGCAGCACACTTACTCTGAGTGTCAATCTACCATCTATCTGCTGGTCGGGTTAGGTGATTGGCCTCCCGAGGTTCCACAGGGACGCCCACCTTGTATTCCTCTTTCCTAGGAATTGAGGGACCAACCCTGGCCTGATACACTGGAGTCGAGAGGCATAGAATGGGGTAAAAATTGTACCTGGATGTGTCCTTTTTCTTAAGTGTACACATCGATTTTGAGTGTCAATCTACCATCTATCTGCTGGTCGGGTTAGGTGATTGGCCTCCCGAGGTTCCACAGGGACGCCCACCTTGTATTCCTCTTTCCTAGGAATTGAGGGACCAACCCTGGCCTGATACACTGGAGTCGAGAGGCATAGAATGGGGTAAAAATTGTACCTGGATGTGTCCTTTTTCTTAAGTGTACACATCGATTTAGAGCTCTTTAAAGATTAAGCTGTCACTTGGTACCATTATTTCTATTATCTATCTTTATTTTCTTGGTAACCATTTTTAAAATCTATATTTGCTAGCAGTTAAGAAATACAGCAATAGCCATTGTAACCATATGATTTATAAGCTTCTTTAATAAACCTGTAACTGTTTAAGCTTTAACCTGACTCCTTCAGTTGCTATAACAGAACCAAGTACAATTTAAAAAAACTCCAGCCAGTTATAAGGGACAGATGCAGGCAGAGCTAGGCATTTGGATCGTATCGTTTCCAGAGGACAGATCCGTGGGGCATCTCTCAGCCTTCCAGGCTGCCTGCTGTGAAGGGATCATGAATCCTAGCACTCAAAATCTGAGGTGTAATAAGCTCTCCCTGTAAACTATGGGGCATCTGTCAGACTGTTGGCTGCCCACCATGAAGGGACCTGGTCCTAGCGGTCAGAGACACGGATGTTAAACTTCTCGGGGCACCCGTCAGCCTCCCTAGGCTGCCCGCTGTGACAGGACCTTGTGTCCCAACAGTTGAAGACTCAGGTGTAACACACACACACACACACACTGCCCTGACCATCGGCTGACAGTACCGTAATTAGTGCTGCATGACACTCACATTCAGCAGAATAACTTTAGTTTAACCATATTAATGAAGATTTGTATGTAAAGCCCCATTGGGTTTATTTCCCAGTCAAATTACCACGACAGATAAAGACAAAAACCCATTAGAAAAACCAAGGCTCCAAAATTTTAATAGAATTCATAAAATGAAAGAGTACAATAGCTGATATATTATTGCCTTATACAAAAAAGAATTATTAGACTTATGCAAGGAAGACTGTCATTATTTCTTTGGCCCATTCATTGGGCAAAATAGAAATGCTGGAAATGTTATAAAAGTTGAGAGAGATCACAATTTCATAGTTCTATTTTCCTGGTGGATAAGTTGATAGTATTCATAAAGAAAAGTTACTAATAGTTTATTTGCCAAAAGGTGAAGTTGAGGATCAACCAAAATTATTGAAAAATTTGCCAAACCCAGGAGAAGAAGAGTGTCCAATCATCTCAGGGTTACAGTACTCACCTAGGATCAAGACAGACTGAAGTACCCATTCTACCTAATGCAAATTAGGGACTTGAACTTGGATCTGTCATTGTACAGGTGAGTGAGTACCTTGAACAATGGCTCATGGATTTTTCAGTGATGTGTTTATTTCTTCATTGAAGCTGTTCCACTTCATATAAGCTAATTAATTTTTCATTAAATCAGGGACTGAATCTCTCAATCCCCAATGACTGCCCTAACTACCAGGATATAGTCTCTCTCTCCTCTCCCCCTCCCCAACCCAATAAATATTAAGTATTAATTCAATGTGGAACAGCTGTAATGAGACACAACACCATCCCAAATACCCTGTATGTCAGAGGTTGGGACATTTGATTGCAATTCGAAAGGCCCCAATTCAACTCCATGCTCCAATCAGGCATAGAGGGGATATGAACCCACTTTCCGATATCACAGGAGATTTCTCCAACAGAATAACAGGGCACTATCCCTGCTGCCCCCTCTCCTTCAATAATGTGAATGGCATTTCCAGATTTCCTTTGTGGGCATTTTATTAAAAACAAACTAAACCAAAAAAAAATCTCAAACAAAATGTTTTCTTCAAACAAAATGCATTGTTTCCAGTTTGTATTCCACTTTGGGAGAAGTGGTCCAGGTGCAGCCTAAGGTCCAGTGTGTTTCAGCAGCAGCCCTGGGAACTACAAGTTGCAGACTACAAACTGCGGCATGTTGGGAGAACTTCCTCGTTCCTGCCACGATGTGCCCTCTGCCCCCAACAGGGTCTCAGCAAGGACTGTGCTAGAAGCAGCACACAGGCTACATGCTGAGAAAGGGGGCTGCTGAACTGTTTTCCTGTTCTATGTTTTTTACAGGTAAGACCAGAAAGGTCTATAGAGCACCCTGAGAGGAGTTTAAGTGACACAAAGGGAGAACCTAGACTTGGAATAAAGCCTGTTCCTTGGTGATTTGTCTGAATGGGTCTGGTCTGAGGTGCACTCACACATACACAACACAGAGCACACCAAGCAGCCTCCAGCCTAGCCTCCCACAGTGGCATAAGAAGTCACAAGGCTTCCCCTATGTTGAAAAACTTCACACTGGGCTAGCGAACAGGAGGAGTTACACATATGTGGTTGATTATTAAATAAAGCAAGATTTTTTTTATTTTTTGCAAACTGAGCAATTAATTATCTGCACAACTCTATACAATGTTACTCTCTGAAGCGTGTCTCAATTTATTGTGTAGCACAATACCCAGGAAGGAGTCACTGAATTGCAACAAAAATGCATATCAAGGCTATTCAAATACCAGCTGAGAACCTCTATGAGTGTCTTGTTAATATTTTTCACTTGCTATGAGGGAATTTACAGAACCCCAATAGCGCTAATGGTAATTAAGCAACTAACTCCACTTACATTGAAGTGCATGTTAATGGACCACTTCTATTTTAGTCTCTATTAGTGAACTTGTCTTATAAAAAGTAGGTGATGGTTAAATATATGATTTTGCCATGTGGGTTATTGAATAAAGTGAATGTTTGTTAGCCATACTTGTGGGTTAGAGCTAGAACAATGTCATGCCTAAATGGGGATTCACATTCAAATTCTAGGAGTGTTGAGGAGAGTATCAATCCCTCAGGCAGGAAACAAGTCATGCTGATGACAATCCCAGCTCTTGCTGACTGAAGAAGTCACTGTCATGCTTTAAGAGCCACTGCAAATGCCTCTGCTTGCAGTGACTTTATGATTCAGGGCACTTGAGGGACAAGTAAAAAAAAAATTGAACAAGAGAGACAACTTCTCTTCCCACCAAAAAAGATGAACTTTAAAAAAAAACTGAACATTTTACAAATATATGCATGGGAATCTTAGTTAGGTAGATAACCTATATCACTATAGCCACCACATGCATTGCTATAGGAACTCTATATTGAAAGAGCTGATAGGTATATGAAGGGGTGCTCACCACTATGCTGGGGCCTCCTCCTATGTCCTCTTTGTTTCTCTCAGGGTCTGCAGCCCATCCCTCAGTCCATAAGCTGCTTGCCTCTTCAGGACTCAGCCTTCCAGCCAAGTCACTATACATATTTTCTCTTTCTGGAGTTATCTTTAGTAATCCTGGGGAACCCTCCCATTCCGTCAACAACTAGCAGGGGAATCTCCTTCTTGCCTTCTGCTCTAGGTCACAGACTCTCTAATCAGCGGTCAAGGCCTGTTCCCTTTTAAGCCTTACTGCCTTTCCCTGCCCTCTGTTACCCTTCTTCTTCTGAGCTTGCCAGCCTCCACACAAGGAAAAGCTGCAAGCTAGCTATCCCTGCAGCCTACAAATGCTCTGCTCTTCTCTTAGGAATTTCAGGTTTCCTAAGTAGCCCCTTTCTGCTGCCAATTTCTAATCAGTTCATATCTGCCCAGCTGGGCTCCCTCCTGTAATCAGGGAATTGCTTAGCTACCTAAGTCCTCTCAGCTGTGGCCTGTGGGAGTTCATTGGCTTCCTTCTCAATCTGCCTTAACCCTTACAGGGCAAGCGCTGGGTGAACATCCCTTCACAAGCTGTCATTTTTTTTCCTTTGCATCCTCCAATTTTATTCACCAAAGGCTATTACAAAATGCTTTAAATACTAAGCAAAGTCACAAAAATATATTTTATAGGTTTTTCTTCAACCAAACTTTACCAAGCAAGTAATTTCATTTACCATGCCTCTGGGTTCAGCTCCTATTTTTGATGTGTTTTCTTTCACCATAAAATCAGTCTGCTGCATGCTTTTGAAAGGTTTGAGCTTAGAACACTCAAAATAATTCAAAGAATATAATAAAAACCACACACATATTCCCAATGATTTCTATATTGCTATGAATCCATACTTTTTTTACTTGTATAAATGCACAACTAAGCATCATGTGTGATGTATTAACAGCATGAGACCTATATGATGCTTGCATGTTCTGAAATGACAGGTTCAGATTGCTCAGGGTCAAGTCATTTTTTTAAAAGCAAAAAAAAAGTTCCTATAATATTCTGCATTTGCATTCTCAAGATGACACTTTAAACCTGCATGTGCATCCTCAAGATGACCATTTTAAACCTATAATATTCTGCATATGCATCCTCAAGATAACACTTCATTTATAATGAAGTTCTCTGTGAGAACATATAGGCTATGTCTACACTTGGGGCTTCTTGCGCAAGAACATCTTGCGCAAGGGTTCTTGCGCAAGAAGTCTTGCACAAGAAAACGTCCACACTGCTATGTATGAGCTGTGCTTTTGCGCAAGAGCACCCATGGCAGTGTGGATGCTCTCTTGCGCAAGAAAGCTCTGGTGGCCATTTTAGCCATAGGGCTTTCTTGCGCAAGAAATCCCTGCCGAGCGTCCACACTGCCCGCTTGCGCAAGAGCTCCTGTACAAGAGGGCTTACACCTGTTAAAAAAGAGTATAGCTCTTGTACAAGAAGCCCCCTCTCACCACGCCATACTGTAAATTTCCTTGCGGGCAGTGTGGATGCTCTGCAGATTCTTGCGCAAGAATGGCCATACATGTACAAGAACCCACAAGTGTAGTCATAGACATAGGGTTTTGCTCTAGTGGCCTTAGTGGTATGTTGGTTGCTGATATCTTTGGGACTGGTAGCAGCAATCTGCATGTATAAACTGTATATTTTTTCCTCTTTGGGGAAAAAAAAACCATCGAGGCAATCTGTAAGGATCTTCCCTGTCATGAGTGAAGTATTCTCCCCTCTACAAAAATGGCCATGGAAGCTGTTTCTAATCCCAGTGTTTCTCAGGAGATCAAAGACAATTACACAGACCTTTTAATTCAGCTGGCTCACACCTGCAGCATGGAGCAGTACCACCCAAAACTCTCTGCACTACAGGGAGAGCTGGGGAGGTTTTAAATGCTGCCCCCACCCTAGCAAAATCTCTCAGCTTTTATTGGGCAGAAATTGGCCAATAGGACTTGAGAGATTTGTTGGGTGTGGGAGCAATGTAGCACAAATTTTCAACTCCTATTGTTCAGTTTCCACCTCCCTCCGCGCACACACACCCACACCCACGCACACCAAAGCATGAAGAGCCACATGGAACAGCCAGCCAGCGACTGCTGGCAAGCAGGGAAGCCTGCTTGAGAGTGCTGATGTGTGTGAGCTGCTTATGTAAGCACCTCCTGGCTAGAGCCTGCCTCACATCCCATCCACTCCTGCACTTCCTCCCAGATCCTGCAGCCTCTTATTCACGCCTCCCCCAGGTCAGAATACTTTCCTGAACTCATACCCCTTCCTGGACCATACACCCCAAAACCCTGCTCCCTCCTTCACCCAACTCCCTCTCATGCCCCACACCATCTCAGTCTGCTATCCCATGTTCCTTTCTGCACCTAACCTCCATCCCATACTAAGGATATTAAGACAGTGGTTGCTCCACCATATTGGTTGGAGCAGCCCCTGTCTGCAGCGGGCTTGGAGGCCCTGCAGACAGGGGCTCCTCCGACTGGATGGGAGCAGCTGCATTCCTCTCTAGCCCAGCAACAAGTGGGTGGGCTGCCCCTCCGCTCTCTCCCCCTTTAACTGGTTAACCGGTTAAATAATATGTTTGACTGGATATCCAATTAAACTGGATTTTACATCCCTACCTCAGACCCTGTACCCCCTCCATAGAAACATGAGGCCCTAAACCACTTAACATCTTGGAATGGTCCCCCATCAAAAAATTATTCCCCCTTCCCACTCCGGATCCTAATGCCTCCCTCAGCAGCACATCATCAGAGCTCTGCTGTCAGGGGTTCTCTGTGGATGCAGCTGCCCTAAGACAAGCAGCAGAAGAGTTGTGTTGAAAAGAAAATGGCACATGGATGTATTACCTTTATCACCTAAGACTCAGATCTGGAGCACTGTGCGATACTAATCCCCCTGTTTCCATTCCAGGCACTTCTCTTCCTTATCCAGTTTATCTCCCTCCTATTACTGTAACAGATCATGTATCTGCAGAGCCTGAAGAGGAAAAGAAACAGAGCCACCAAGGCAATAAACTGCAACTTTCTTTGAGGAAGGTGCTGATTATGGATACGGAGGTCTCTTCTATGTGATCTTTATGCAGATTATCTGTTCATAAACAAATATAGGAGAGACGATCTGGACAATAGCTTTGGAGATGTTTTGAGATCATTTTTAAGGAAAAGCAAAATAAACCCCAATATCCTAGAAACAGACTTCACTACTTCAGCGAGTTTTGTGTGCCTCTAGTCTTGAGTGTATTTTGCTTGCCTGTCACTATTATATATTTTGTGATACTTGAACAGGGACCTTCAAGGGCACAAAATCAGACCAACAGGCTGAAGATAAAATAGACTCCTATAAGTACACCTTAGTGGTAATTCTGGAATGATAAGACCTGTTTACTGATCATCTTGACCTTCTATGTCACATTTGGTATACATAAAGGGGACCACCAAGCAGGGTATTGTAGTAAAAAAACACACTCATAGTTTGCAGAAACCTGTTTCTGCACATATTTCTCTTTGGCCATGATAGAGTTAAAATAGATTTTCTCTGAAGACATTGGATAGCTTGAGATAGCAGGGATTTTGTATGTATGGTAGACATAATTTACTGAAGTCTTTTCCTAACATCTGGAATCAAAATGTCACATCAGAGAGATAGCTTCTTTGTACTTACAGCTAAATGAAAAGAGAAAATCAGCAACAAGCTATTAAGCTGAAGGCAAACAAAAGATGTTTGCTGTCCTTTCATAAAGTTCTAAATTATATCTTTTTAAAGTAATTGAACAAGGCAGGCTATGTACTATAGTTTAAAGGGGACCTAGCATGACCCATTTTTTGTTCTACTGAGATTGAAAATTGTGATCTTTATTTTAGTGTATTAACCCGAGTTTTTGTAAGTATGTATTAAAAAGAAATTTGAATGCATGTCCTCATTGCTCATGGATCAAAAGACAACCAAAAAATAGATCAATAAATAGGTTACTGGCTATGATCACAACATGTAGGCAGACACTTGGGAAGTGTTCATAGATCGATTAAAAATATATATTGATAGTGCTTCTTTTAAAACTATGTATCTCAGAACATGGAAGTATCTGCAGGCAAGTTTTTAATAGCAGGCCCTTTGTTAATTCATAATTAAGTTTATTTTTAAAGTCCTTGACTGAAGAGTTCCAGACTCGGTGAAAACTGTAAAAGTAATACATGAACACTGAAAACATCATTCTTAACATTCAAACACCTACAACATTACTTACTATTGGATGAGTGAAACAGACAAACATACAACAACCAAACAAAAACATTTGAAAAACAAAATGCATAGGGTTCCAACTGTAGAAAATGGTGATGTATGTTGTTATAGGTTTGTTGGATTTTTATTTAAAATAACCTCATTAACTTCCAAGTGATGAGTACAGCTATGTCTACACTACAAGCTTCTTGCACAAGAAGCTTCTTGCGGAAGAGATCTTCTGCAAAAACTTCTTGCAGAAGGGAGCGTCCACACACAAAAGCTCATCGAAAAAGCGATGCGCTTTTGTGAAAGAGAGCATCCATGTTCACTGGCCACTCTTTCGCATATAAAACATCCCAGAACCAGTTCTAGCCAGGCTTTATATCACCAGCTGCTCTCGAGTGCTGTTGCTGGAGCCCTGCAGAGACACGTGCTTAAAGGGACCACCTTGGACAGCCTTGTCTCTGTTTCTGTTGCCTGCTTGTGGACCTCTTTTGAAGGACAGAAAAGCTTCAGCAGTGCCTGCTATGGATGCCCTGTTCTTTTTTTGGGATGCCACAGCTTTTTTCGTGTGCACGTCATGGAGCTGGAGCTGCCCCTGGGTAGGCAATAGCCCCACACAGTGATGCTGCAGTTCCTGCAACATTTGCTTCCAGCCGCCTACATCTTCATGCTGAACATTGACTTCAAACTCCTTCTTGGGACCCTCTGTGTGGCTGCAGCTGCTCCAGTCTGGCAGCTGCACCCCAGCGTGCAGAGGCGTTTT